TAATTTATGCTTTCTTTAAATATGTTAAATTTGTAATTAATGTATTTTAGTTAGAATGAAACCATAAATATTGACTTTAATTTCAATAATTAATTAATTAAAGTAATATATATTATTAGTGTTATAATTAATATTTAGTTTTATATTTAATATTAGTAAAACGAAACATTAATTGCACTGTCTTTGCTAAGAAAAACCATTAATTAAACTCTGAAACAATGTTCTGGAACGTTGTCATTGACGTGGAAATTGGACGTCGTCGGCTCAATTTCTCCTTTTTCCTTTTTCTTGTTCTTCTTGTTCTTCTTCTTGTGTTGAATTGATTAATGCTGTGGAAAATGAGACCTCGTGCCTTCGGACGATCTTGACAATTAAACTTTTAGGTATCGAAGAAATGTCAGGCCAAAGTTTTTTAATAGTTTTCCTTCGTTTAAATAAAGGTTAATCTATCACTAAATAAATATTATTTTATGATTAAGTTTAAAATTTAAATCTTTTAATATGTTAAGTAGTTTTTTTTTTTTTTTTATAACAGATTGTACTTATTTACGTATTAATTAAGAAAATAAAAAAAAAAGATTTTGTGAGATTCGAACACATAACTTACGAGATGTGAACACCCTTACTTAGTCAAAGTGGGCTGTTCTAATATACTAAGTAGTTAATTTTTTGATATATAAAAATATTTAAATCTTCTATTCAATAGTAAAAAAATTAATTTAAAATATACCAAGTTAAAATTTGAAGATGTGTAGTGTTTTAAAATTGCTTTAGTAAAAATTAATTTCAAATGCCTTAAAACTATATAAGGCCAAAGAAAAACAATTGAAAATCAAGAAAGAAAATTAAACAGTTTTGTTCTTTAACTCAAATTATTTAGGGTAGTGATGTAGAGATAATTTTTTTTAAATTTTTTTATATATGATTAAATAAGTGAATATATTTAATATTGTAAATTTTAATTAAATAAAAAAATTAATAATTTAAGTAATATGTAAAATTATACACAAATGTAATTTCCAAATTATTCTTCAATGCTTTACTAGGGAAAATACAAGTAGAAAAAAAATCATTTTTTTGCATCTAATAATCATTTATTTAAGAAATGATCCAAGGTGTTTCCATTTTTATCAAGGAAGATAATTCTATCATAAATTATTTTTCTCCTTTAGTGGAGCATGCATAGATATTCAAGTTCAACGATTCAGGGATCCAACTGGTCCATTACTCCGTTTACTTTTCACGTGGTGGATGACAGACGGCACTATTTATATGCTGCGTTCATCACTGAAATAACAATTTCAGAAAATAATAGCCAAAGTTTCTGTTAGGTTTATATGAGAGTCTAGAGATTAAATATATATATATATATATGTAAATAAAGTAATTAAAATATAATAAATAAGAAAAGTGCACACCAATTTCAATTATAAAAAATAATTAAAGTTTTAACTTTAAATTATGTTATTTTATTTAATTAAAATTTAATTTAAAATTTAAAAAATTAGTTTATTAAATGTTAATACATTAAAATATATAATGAGTTTTAAAATTTAAATATCAACATTTAATAGGATGGGATTTTGATTTCAATTTTTAAATACAAATTAAAACATGAATTATTTTTTAAAATTAAGACTGATATGCACAAATGTCAATAAATATTATATATATAAAGATTCATAAATATGATATTTATGTTATTTTTTTTAATTCAAAAAAAAATTAAAACATGTATATCAGTACTTAAAAAAAAAAAATACATATCAAGTTTTGTTCTAACTCAAGTTTTATTCTAGCTCCCGTTATACAATCGGGTGAGATTATTATCACATCTTAAATAATTAATACCACATATTTTTAAATATAATTATTTATTATACCTTTATATTATATTCTTTCTCAAAAATTCTATATTTTTT